TCAGTTTTCACAGGCAAGAGTGCTGAAGGAGTTGGCAGATGTGAATGCAGAGCCGCTAGCATCATCCTTGAAAACCTGTGGAGATTGAGAGAGGTCCCAGACAACTGAAAAATGGCAGATATAGTGCCCATCTTTAAGAAAGGGAAGGAGGATCCAGGGAACTACAGACCGGTCAGCCTCACCTCAGTCCCTCGAAAAATCATGGAGCAGATCCTCAAAGAATCCATTACTAAGCACGTGGAGGAAAAGAAGGTGATTAGGAACAGTCAGCATGGATTCACCAAGGGCAAGTCATGCCTGACCAACCAGATTGCCTTTTATGACAAAATGACCAGCTCGGAGGAGGCTGGAAGGGCAGTGGATATGATGTACCTTGACTTTAGCAAGGCTTTTGATATGGTCTCCCACAACATTCTCACGATAAGGAAGTGCAGGTTGGATAAATGGACTATAAAGTGGATATAAACCTGAATGGACTGTTGGGCTCAAAGGGCAGTAATCAATGGCTCCGTGTTTAGTTGGCAGTCAGTATTACGTGGAATGCCCCAGGGGTTGGACTTGGGGTCGGCTTTGTTCAATAACTTCATCAACGACCTGGAAGATGGGACGGAGTGCACTTTCACCAAGTTTGCAGATGACACTAAGATGGAGGGAATACTAGATATGCTGAGAGGGTAGTGCTAAGATTCAGAGAGACCTCAACAAATTAGAAGAGTGGACCAAAAGAAATCTAGTGAAGTTCAATAAGGACAAGTGCCAAGTCCTGCACTTAGGACAGAACAATCCCATGCACCGGTATAGGCTGAGGGCCGACTGGCTAAGCAGCAGCTCCGCAGAAAAGGCCCTTGTTGTGAAGGCTATCAATACACCGGGCTGCATTAATAGGAACATTGCCAGTTTATGGAAGGAAGTGATTCTTTCCCTCTGTTTGGCACTGGTGAGGCCACATCTGGAGTATTATGTAGTTTTGAGAACCCCTGCAGAAAGGATATCGACAGATTGGAGCAAGTCCAGCAGAGGGCAACGAAAATGGTTATGGGGCTGGGGCACATGACTTCTGAGGAAAGGATGAGGGAACTGGGCTTATTTAGTTTGGAGAAGAGAAGACTGAGGGGGATTAACAGCAGCATTCAACTCCACGAAGGGGCGCTCCAAAGAGGATGGAGCTGGACTGTTCTCTGGTGGCAGATGACAGTACAAGCAGCAATGGTCTCAAGTTGCAGCAAGAGAAGCTTAGGTTACATATTAGGAAGAATTCTCTCACTAAGAGAGTAGTAAAGCACTGAAACAGGTTACCCAGAGAGGTGATGGACTCTCCATCCTTGGAGGTTTTTAAGACCTGGCTAGACAAAGCTTTGGCTGGGATGATCTAGTTGGGGATGGGCCTGCTTTGAGCAGGGGGTTGGAGGTCCCTTCCAACCCTAAAATTCTATGTTTCTATGTAATTTATAGAAACACATACACAGAGGAAAAAAGAGAAGTAGGAACAAGACAAGTCATTACACAGGTACGCTAAATCTTGTAGCAGAGGGAGTTTCCATGAATGAAGGATTTCCCACAGTCTATTTTTGTACATAGTACTGCAATCCAATTGTTCATTTCTTACTCAACAGGTCGCTGATTCATCCAGAAGAGGATGCTGCTTCTGCTGCAACTTAGGTCAACATAACTCGGCTTTTGTACACGTGTAACTACACTTCATGCCACTGCCTTGTCATTTTCAGTGTAAGCCTTTGTTTTATCATGTAGACATTTGAGTGACAAGGGTATGGATTGTTTAAAGTGAAGGGGGGAGTAGGGTTTCAAGAATTAACAGCAGTTATCAGCAGAAAGATGTATTCTTTCAGCCTCAAAGCTTTGTACTGCCACATGATGTTCCCTTTAAGTGAGGTTTATAACAAGAAGTTGACGCATAAATACCCTGTCACACATTTGAGATCACTGTGTTCTTCAGTTTATTCATGTACACTAGCAAAGAACAGATAAGCACAGAGAACGATCAGATGGGTATTTTTTTCTGACTTGTAGGTCAAACTCTGTTAACACCTCATAAATGGTAAGATCTGCCTGTGAAGAATAAGAGTTCAGTACTTTGTTCCACAGAAAATGTTGGGACTTCTCTTGGGTCCTTCCCAATCAGTGAAGAGCCTGGCCAAGGGAGGCCGCTTTAATGGAATATTCTGCCTGCAGCTGCTTCCACTAAAAGCAGTCCCGACTTCAACAATTATGAAGAAGGTCAGAAGGGCAGGAAAAAGGAAAGATGATGGGAAGTTTGGAGGCCAGCCATACATAGCAGAGTCAGCTCGCTGAGGTCAGATACTAGTGATAGGTACAGAAGAACAAGCACTAAAAGACGCCAGAGAACTAACTTCTATTGCCCAGGAGCAGTTACAGGAAAGCAACTGCTGTTCTCCCCTGCTATCTCTGTACTGTAGCAAGGATAGCACTCATATGATGCTTTAGTTCCTCACGCAGTCACCTGTTTAGAATATCAATGGTGGAAAGTACAACGTATCCCACATTCAAGGTTGGGAAAGAGAATAGGAGAAGTGGGGCAGAAGATTAATCATTATATTTTACTGAGCATATAACTTCTCATACTCTTCACTGTATTGATTGTCTTGGAGCTGCAGCTGCTGTTGTTACTTGAAGCAAAAACGGAAGGCTTTGTTCATGCTGTCCCTTCTATTCCACTTGCTATACCTGTTCCCCAACAATGATATGGAATGAAACTATCAGAGGGAGGGAACTTGTTTTAGCAAAAAACCGAAGAGTATGTGGGACATTTACAACAAAAACTAAATGAAAATTCTTCTCAAGACCATGTGAGTGTATAAGTATACATACATATATACATAAGATACACATTTACCATTCCCATAACGAAGTGCCCCCAAAATAATCTCCAGTTCAACCAAGCTCCAAAGCACGTAAAATCCGTGGGAACCAAGTATGTATTAAAGTGCTTTCCTAAGCAGGCAATGAGCTTGCTCTCATCTCATGCATAAAATTAAGTATGGGCATGAGTTCTTTGCTGACTCTTGGGCTCAAGAAATAAACATGTTTTAATGTCAAAAGTCCATTAAAATGGCTATTACAGAATCATACAATGATAGCATATTGGTTAATTAGATGGCCAGTTTCTATTTTGTTAAATAGATTGCAGCCCTGATTCACATGTTGCCAATTCTCCTGTTACTGGAGATTTAAATAGGTCTGGGTCAAGTGTACCAGGAGAAATTTAAAAATTACGTGTACTCTAACAAAATATGTTGAACTTTGTCTGGCGTTTGAAATATTTAAACCAGGACCTCAGCAATTATGTGATAAGTGCAAAGGGAATGCTTATTAGAGCCAATGCAGGAAACAGTACTTACAGTTAAAGTTGCCCAACATTAGTCATTATAAGCACTGTTTCCAGAACCTTACAAAATGGAGAGCTTTACCAAAATAGTTACATGCTGCACACCTTAACCTTACTGTGTCCCTCCCTCTCCCCACCCCTGGAAAATTACCGCAAAAACAACACAGCCATTTCTGAGAACAAGAGGAGAGAAAAAAATACATTATTTTGTTCTGTGAAAATTCCTGACACCTGTTGCACAGAAAAAATGATGCTGTAAGCTTTGGAGCAGAGATCTGCTATCCGGCAGGCAAGTTACAAGTTTGTTTTTTTCCTGATTCTGTTAAAAACCAAAAGAAAATTGGTCAAATGATGAGCTCCTAAAAGTCTGTTTGCCAATGCTCAGCCAAGACTATTTACAATTTGACAGGCAAAGTCTCCAAAGAATCAATCTGTACTGAGCATAAACTACAGGGCTGAAGGGACTGAAAAGGGCTTCCCTTGAGACTGTTCTTAATGGCAGCTGGAGACTAATGTGGGGTCAGATACAAGAACTGAAAGCATCAAGACTGGCTTCCTTGGATTTTCAATTCTCCCTTTGCTGATACCCAGAAAGCAGAGGAGAAAAAGAATCTGCCCTGCAAGGAGGCAGAAAAGTGAGTAGCTGAGTCAAGCAAGTAGCAAATAGACAATCTGAAAGGAGGAGCCAGTGGAAGTTGAGATATGACAAGGCACCACAGCTAAAGGGAGCATAAGAGAAATGGAAACTGGGATGAGGAACCAAGGGACAAAGACTGCAGTGGTGCTGGGGAAGAGAATGGGCAGACTGGCAGGTTCAGTCAAATAAAGAAACATGCTTGGGGAGAAGGCTTTTGGGTGGAAGACAGGGAGGGGAAAGTCTCTAACTATGAATACAGTGGGCTCCAGAATCTGGAATGGAACCCAAGATTCCCAAATCACATCATTCCTCTGCTGACAGCAAAAAGCTGTGAAATCCACTGCCAAACTGTGTACCTCATCCCCCTCTAGTGGCTTCCCTATGTAAGAGATAGCAACCTTCTGTTCAAGTGGTACAGGTCTGTCTGTGGTATGACTAAGTCATTCTGGCTCTGCCAATAACTCCACATGGGAGTGAATCTGGGGTTCTATAACATGGAACTCGTCTTTGTTTAATTACTATTTTAAAAGCCAAACTCATTTGCTCAGCATCACACGGAACCTGGTAACACAGCCAGGAATAGAAAGTGGCATTTCTCATTTGTGAAAGTGACATTCAATTTTTAAGTCACATCATCAGCTTCTCTATTTCTGAAGCCACCTGCCTCATT